TCATTTCTTCGTGTCTAAACATGAGTCGTCGTTGTGTCCCGGAGCTCTCGCTTTTGAGTTCCATTGAGGTTCTACATAGGAGGATTGTGTGAGGTTCTTGCTAGGAATGAAAAATGAAGAGTAGTGATGGAGTGAGTTCTTCGAAAAGAGAGCATTGGTCGTTAATTGCATATGTGGCAAGTGTTTTTACTCTCAAGTACCCCCCTCAAAAAGAAAAGAAAAAAATGAAAGGAAAGAATAACAAAAAAGAGGTAATAAAATGAGGTAAATAAAGTAGAGAGTGCCACGAAAAACCAAAAGTGCATGCTCTACGAAGGGTTTCTTGGCACTCAAGCCATTGAAACCCCCCACATTGTTTTAGAACTCCTTCACTACCAAACCTTAATGTGCTAGCAAGAGTAGACCGAGGGAAGAGTGCTTCAATGTAGTTCACGTTGGGTGATAGTTTGGAAGGGAGAGATAAGGTTTTTGGCTTATGCTAGTGGCCTTTGGTTGAGGAGAAGGGTTTTAGTCGGAACCATAGAACCTTTGGGTCTAGGTTGAAGATGTAGAACCTCATGTCATGATTGCCACCACCCAAAAACCTTTTCCCCATGTCCAAGACAATTGCCAGTCATCTGAACCCGTGATTGTGCACGTTTTTTTGCACCAAAAGGTCCCGACCCCACTGGTCTTGAGAGTGAGTGATTGATTCTTGTTTTGCATGCCATATCATACCCCGGTGAGGACCTTTGTTTCCTTTCCATTTGTTCCCCGGACTTGAATTCTATGCATGGTTAGTTGTGGTTGATAAGTGGTTTCGTTGAGACTTGCATTGATCCGTGAACAAGGTGAGAACTTTTCATTTGCCCACTTTTGGTGGCCTCGAATATTGTTTGTGGTGGATGTCGGTATTGCTTGCTACGGTCCATGTGTTAATTGCCAATAGCCATCGAGAATTCCCACTTTGTGCTCTTTGAGTTGTCCCCAAAGTATTTTTGTAGGTTGAAATATTACCTTGTGTGAAATGGTTTGCTTGGGGACAAGCAAACGTCTAAGTGTGGGGGAGTGATTCGGGCCTAATTGTACATGTTTTACCGCCGTTTTCCTTAGGCATTTGTGGCATTTTCGCTCCTAAAAGGGTGGTTTTACGCTAGGTTTCACGTGTTTTAGCGTGTTTCAGGATTTAACAGGTGAAACCATCCCCAGAGTCGAAAGTTGGACGAAAAGGAGTGAAAACCAGGAGAAGAGGTGAAAAACGACGGGTTCACGGTTTTCCTTGGATGTTCACGGTCTTGTATGACCATGAAGAAGATCTGTTGCCCGTGAACTTTGAGACGTCCAGGGCCAAAATGCAAGTTACTGACGCTAAGTGAGTTCACGGTCACTAAGACCGTGATTAGGAGCTATGGACCGTGAACACGTGCAAGCGAAGCGATGCGTTTTGGTGCTAACCTTGAGTTCACAGACACATTTCAGAGTTCACAGCCGTGAACTGAGGCCGTGAATTGAGCTCGTTCCCTTTTTAAAAGAGGAGCTGAAATGAAGAGAGAAGAGAGAGCCCATTGGAGTGAGAAAGCCTTCTTCAGATTTATAGAGAGAAAGACGAACCAAAGGAGAAGGAGTCTAGGGTTTGCTCCAAGAGTGGATTTGGGAAGATTCTCCCCAAGAGAAGTTCAGCACAAGTGCCAAGAAGATTAGAAGCCTCCTTCATGATGGTTTCTACCTCTTCCCCTTGTGTTTCTCCCATTTTTAGCATGGAGTAGATTTCTTTTTCTCTTGGGTGTTGTGAAACCCTGACTAGCTACCATGTAGTTTTCCTTATGTGAATTGAATGATTGTTTATGGGTGTTGTTTAATTCAATGATTGTTTGTGCTTAGCAATATAAGCTTGTACATGTTGGTGCTTAGCAATCTAATTAGCCACTTAACCTAGATTAGAGAGGAAACCCCCCCCCCCCTTCCAAGGGAGACTCAATTGAGTTGGTATTCCTAGGTCTTTTTAAGTATCTTAACTAGGTTAATTTAGGGCCAACCTCAATATTGGATTAAACAATTTGGTTAAGCGCGATTAAGCCGTCCAACCTTTGGGTTGAGTGAGAGAGTCAACCATTGATTGCCTAAACCGAGAGGGCCTAGTGACAGCCTATAATGCATGCCTCGGTTTAGCAATAATGAGTGTGGTCTACGCCCATATTTGCGTCTCCTAGAGGTTAGCGATCACCTTGCCCATAACAATCATTTCGGTTCACATACCATGGTAGTAGTTAGGGGGAAGCGATGTAATTATATCTTCATAAATTTTACGTAGTGTCTTAACATTAGATCTTCTGTAAGGTGTGATCTAATAATAAAATCATGTGATTAAAAATACCAGATTTAATTAAGATGCAATGTAAAGTAAAATTTACTTGATGTTACGTAATACTTGCGTAATACAAATTGATGACATGGTGGATATTTTAGGAAAAAATTGTCTCATTTAAATAAATATTTTCCAAAAGCTTATCTACAAAAAATTTGTGCAATGTCAATTGATGAGATAGTCTCTCCATAAGTTTTACATAATGCATTTATAATGTACGTAACTATTATAGAATAAGTATTTAATTAAAACGGCAAGTAACTAAAAAGTAGAGATACTCATTAAAATATCACATTTGATTAAAATATTAAAAATAACTGAAGTGAATTTGATGGAAATGTACACGTGTAATCTTCTTTGAAATGTAGATATATGTAATTGATACCTAATATATTTGTTTAATTGATACATAAAATATATATCTCTCCATAATTAAGTTTCACGTTATGCATTTATAATGTACGTAACTATTAAAGAATAGTGGTTACGTAAATATTTTGTAATGTGTGACCTAATAATACAATCAAGTGACAAAAATATCACATTTTATTAAAATATTAAAAATAACTAAAGTGGATTTGATGGAAATGCACACTTGGTAATCTTCTTTAAAATGTAGATACATGTAATTCATGCCTAATATAATACATATTTTTTTAATTGATATATTAGAAATATCCATCTCTCCTTAAGATATACGTAATGCATTTGTAATTTATGTAAGTATGATAAAACAGTTTAATTAGTACCAATAAGTTTTACATAATGCATTTATAATGTACGTAACTATAGAACCGCGTTACGTAAATATTTCATGATGTGCGATTTAATAATGCAATCAAGTGACAAAAAAAATATCATATGTGATTAAATATTATAATGTACGTAACTATTATGGAACAACGTTACGTAAATATTTCATGATGTGCGATTTAATAATGCAATCAAGTAACAATAATATCATATGTGATTAAATATTAAAAATAAAAATATATTTGCATGTCCTAAATAAAGGAAACTTTCGGCCAGCCTCTAATGATTTATGCCAAATTGAAGTAAGTACACATGCCCGCAGGGAAAAATTACTTTTTTGAACAGTGAAATTGTAGGCGAGATTATCGTATGGAACAGTGTCCCTACTTTTTAGTTTTTTTTTTTTTGTCAAAGATAGGATGTATTAGATAATAGATAGGGAACTACAGAGAGTTGAACAAAACATAGCGGAAATCAGCCAAATGCCGATTAGCCGATGCAAGAGCTGTTTTCGCCACACAATGGGCAGCCCTGTTAGTCCTACGAGGAGAAAAAACGAAACTAATAACCGCGAAAGATGCTTTCATCAATCGGATTTCTTCCAGAATCGCCCCACCACGATTGTGATCATGTCGCTCCTCCGATGCCAGTCGAATCACCATTTGCGAATCCCCACAGAAACAAGCAGAAAAGATACCCCGGGTTAAGGTGTCCCTACTTTTTAGTTACTTGCGGCTTTAATTAATTATTATTATAATTAATAATTAGCAAAATTTTCAACCAAAACCTTGTTGCTAGATAATGATTCGAATGATTGAAGTAGGGGTACACGGACCGGCCCGGGTCGATATTTAAACATACTTATCCTGTACTGCACCCGACTAAGGTTTATACTTGGATCTTAGGCGGGATTTTATTGTTGTATTCGGGACGAGTCAGACTCCGAAGCTCGAGACGATGACCAGAATGGACCTAGGAGCAACCTACTCATTTCTCGCCGTTTCCAGAACCCCGAACGGAGAGCCTCATTGACGAGGCCGCTAAAAATCAGGCACCTTAACCCCGAACGCAGACGAAAAAGTGGCTACGACTCATTTGAATCGACGTCGGTGCTAGAAGGAAGAAGAAACGTCAGGAGGACTGGCGACCCGGCATCGGAAGAATTTCAGATCTTGCTTTGTCGCCAAAATCTCCATTAGCGGCTTCAAGAAGGAAGAAGAAACTGTCTCTTTACTTGAGATTGGAGGAAGATATGCGTCTCTACCGTCGGAGTCGATAGCGGCGATCTTGCCGGTGGCGGAGGAGAGAGCACGGAAGAGAAGCAGCTGACAGGGAGATGGGAGGAGAAGGAGACGGGGAGACGGAGACGGAGACGAGGAAGGTGTGGATTGAAATTTTATTTATTAATTTTCATTTGTTATTTTTTTGTTAGTTTTACCTTTTTGCCCTTGTTGTTACAGTAACAACAAAAGGGCAGTGGCGGATCCAGAACAGGTTAGAGCACTGGGCCGTATTTAAAAAGCGATGGAGAAGGCTGGGTCGTAACCCAATAAAGACTGAAATATATACCCAAAATAAAAAATTTAGGGCAATGTCTATTGTTTACCCAAACCTTTTCAAACTTCTTTTATTTTACCCAAACCTATCAAAATTCTATTTTTTATCCAATCGTTACCCCACCGTTAACTGTTCTGTTACGTTTATTGACTCAGCAGCGTCCGAATGAGGTGGAATCCTACGTGGCGGTGCCCTTTAATTAAAAAAAATGATTTGTAAAGTAAATAATAGCAGCTAGTAAAGTAAAAAAAAAACAGAACCATTTCGATTCCCATCCTCTTCTTTCTCCCAAGCTTCGCCTTTCCTTCTCCATTCCATCGCGACGACGAATCCATTCTCCGGCAGGCGAGGCAGCAAGCGCTGCCGTCGCCTGTTAAACCTCCCTGCGTCGACGGTCCCAGCACCCAGCGCCGCGCTTCCATCTCTCTCCCCGACGGTCCCAGCACCCAGAGTGTCGCCGAATTGTTGCAGAGAAAGCAAGCAAGGGCCGCGTCGCCGAATCGCTTCCAACTCTTCCGGACAGCTATCTCTGTTCGAGCAAGGTAAGATGGTTCTAGGTTTTCGATTCAAACCCTAGGTTTTCTGAATTTTTGGTTCAAAGACGAAATCCCTTCTCCATATCCCTTCTCCATATTCGAACCCTTTTACGAAACCCGAACCCTAATCTGTGATTTTGTGGTTTCAAACCCGACAACGGCAGCACAAGACTCGACCGGCGGCGGCGAGTCTTCGAGCGGCGACGGCGATTCTTCGAACGGCGACGGCGATTCTTCGAACGGCGACGGCGATTCTTCGAACGGCGACGGCGATTCTTCGAACGGCGACGGCGAGGCTTTGAAGACAGACGACGGAGGCTGCGAGGCGGAGGCTGCGAGGCTTCGAGCCCTTTCTGGGTTTTCAAACGAAGAGAGGGTAAGAATCACCCAATTAATGAGATAAATAAATATATTTGTTTTTAATTTATAATATTAAAATTATTAATTTCAGACGTGTACGCTTACGTGTACGCTGACGTGGAGTTCCGTTACGAAATAAGTAACGGTAACAGAACGAATGCCCAGACTTTGGTCAGTTACAATAAGTTTGGATAAAAAATAGAATTTTGATAGGTTTGGGTAAAATAAAAGAAGTTTGAAAAGGTTTGGGTAAAAAATAGACATTGCCCAAAAATTTAATAGTACTACACGAGTTTTGGATCCGGGGAGGGCTGTGCCCTGGTTCGGGGGCGGTCCACCTAGATCCGCCGCTGCAAAAGGGGTGTTGTTGTAGTATCCGCACCGTGATCCGATCCATGAGTTCAAGCTTCAGTATTTACGCGTGGCAGATACTAATTGGTGGGAAGTGCGTGGAGCTGCCCGAGTAGAGCCAAACCCATTTGGCATTTGGGTATATAAACCGAAAAGTCGTGTTTATTTGAGATGGTGAAATTTCAGTCCATCATCAGACATCAAATAATCGATTTTCTGGTTCGCGCGAGGGGTTGCAATCTCGGACCTGATCGTCTCGCCACTCGCCGGCAAAGTGAGTTTCCTTGATCTCTTGCTTCTTGAACTATTCTTTTATACAGTTCGCTCTCGTCGACCATAGATCTGGTGTCCCTGCATCGTGGATGGCAGGGAGGATAGGGTTTGTGGAATGAGTTTGGCGATTTGCATGCAGTTCAATTGGATTGTTCTTCGCAGATAGTTCATGTCTGATTGAAGTTACAGCGAAATTATGGCAGGAGTTCGGCGCGTTCTTAAGGAACGGATCTCAGATAAAGCTGTTTGTTGTTCTTTGGGGTGGGACGGATCTAATATGAGTATTGGTGCCGAAATTGATATGCGAATCCTAATTGTTTTGTTTTTCCTCCTATCAGTTGATTTAGAGAAAAAATTCATATAGCTAGCGTCCCTAAGCAATAGGAATTCTTCGTGTAACTGCTAATCAATCTACCTCAGATATCTTGTTTATGTGCGTTTAGGGATTCCAGTTTCAGTTGAATTTTGATTGGATGCGAAACTGGAATCCTCATCGTTTTATCCGCTGTTCTTCTTGTAACGGAATTCTGATGTGTTATCTGGATGGAGCATATGGTACCAATTGTTGGTTGCTCGGGCATGTGGATGCATTTTCAGATTGGGGATGTCTCTTTTTACTTTGTTATATTTCATGATAGAGCGAGCATGTGAATGGTGACCCAAGTTGGTGCTCGCACTTAGACGACCTCTTTTTAGATTGAACTGGGCTGAGTAGTGCAAGGTGCCTACACGTATGATAACAGCCTGGGTTGCCTAGAGCTAGCATGAGCGCTGTCTGACTGTTTGTTTTTTACTATGATACTGAACCATAATTCTCTCTGGTCAGTTGTAGAAATGGCACTAGGTGGAACTGCTCCCCCAAGAGGAAGTGCAGCTGCCGCTGCAAGCATGCGCCGGAGAAGGACCACGGGTGGCGCTGGTGCTGGTGGGGGTGGTGGTGCTGCAGGAGGAGCAGCTGGAACCATGCTCCAGTTTTATACTGATGATGCTCCGGGACTCAAAATATCGCCTAATGTCGTACTGTTTATGAGCATCGGCTTCATCGCCTTTGTTGCCATTCTCCACGTTGTGGGTAAGATATACCTTGTTCGGAGGGAGGCTTGAAAGACGTGATGGATGCCTTGTGGGTTGACAGCAGCGGAGCTACTCTCGTTCTGTGCTTTTCCTGTATTTCCTTGACAGTTTTTATGCATCGAGTGCTAACTTTAGGTCAACGTTGTATAATTTCTGCTCTACTCGTTTGGATTAGTTGGATTGTGTTAGAGATATAGTCTCTTCTGATACAGACACACATTATCAGTTTTGGTGCCTTGACCTATTGTGGGTGCTTTCTTCCCTTCCCTTCCCTTCCCTTCCCTTGGAGGAAGGAGTCTGTGGTAGGGGAACGGTTTTTATAGAAGCTTAGGGCAAAGAAAGAGTCAGCCGACAGATTGCAACATGGCCAGGAAAATAACGCAATCCGTGAGGTCTGTACATCCAAGAGTCTCCCCGTGAATGAGCATAAGATCCCAACAATTGCAACCAAGCAAGCATTCCACCTCAATCACCAACTGGTCTAGCGGTTTTGGAAATTAACCTCTCCTTATGATCTAAAACCTATTTGTGAAATAACAAACCTGTCGACCCCAGCAAAACATATTTGTGATCGATCCCATTGCCATCTGCTCCAAGTTATCTAAAACCTCCAAGCTAGGAAAGATTGCATTCTTTACATTCCACCTGAGGATACAAAAAGAAATTGAAGGGAGTGGATTGATTTATGAGCATTTGGATTTAAAATTCTTCAAGCATGACAGATGAACAGAGTTGCGATGGGCAATGTATTTTTATTAGAGGGGACAATTGATCCTTTAAAATATTCAATTAATCCAATTCATTTAATTCAAACTAGCTTCGTACCCGGCCTATTGGCCGGGTTGCGATAATATTTCTTTTATATTAACCAATTTATTGTTAAGTTTAAACTATTTGGATTATCATAATCATTTGCGTGGTAATTCATTTTCTAAAGAGTAATATTGACCTTCTAGTTGGGAGCTTGTCTTAGTATTGGCTAAATTCTCTATCAATCAATTAGGTTAAAAGCATTTTAACTCTTCTATTATTACAAATTAAACAAACATACTTGTATTATTTTTTGCATAAATGTACCTTTCTATTGTTAAGGTAACAATCATAACCTTCTGTTAAAACTTTCACTCATTTGTTATTTTTTATAGGAAGTAGGGTTTTTGTTATGCAGAAAATATATGAAGGAGCAACTTTGTCCTGCATAATGAATGTTGTAATGATAGCAAAAAACACCAAAAACAACGGGAACTACCAGGATCATCTTTATGTCAAATAAGAGTTCTTAATATTGAACAGCCAACAAATAGCATTGTAACAGATTAGCAAAACCTCTCAATGATGCAAAGGACATGAGTGCATTTGGTGTTGACAAACAAAGTAAACAGTTTGATCGATGGTGACAACGGGTGGTCATTAGAAAAAGATGTTACAATCTGATTGAATTAACCAATGGTGAGATCCAATCTTAATCTACATATGATGGCTATCGGGCTGTGTAAAAAATGAGGGATCACCAAACTTACACTGCATACTTAGGATCTATGGAAGATGTCCTTAAATCCAAAAAATCACAGCCTGGGTGAAGAGATTCATTCAGGGCGAATTCCGTGGTGCGCTTTTAGGGGCTGAATGGCGTCCTCTGGCCGGTCGATGAACCCTATTCCTCGGTGGAATCAAGTTAATTAGGAAAATTCGACAGATGCGGCGTCTGAGTAATGGGGGACCACAATTGACGGCAGAATTTAGCACGACAACAAAAAATCGACGACGTAATTGGTGCCATGTCTATGCTTGGAGCGGTGTCCCCACCGGAGTGTTCCTCAGGAAGGCTGAAGTTGACAGGAGATGCAACTACTGGATCGTGGTGGAAGGAATATGGTTGCAGATCTGGGGGTGAAGATCCGATGGTTGAATGGAAGAAGCGGGAAGTCGGCTTTCGTGAAAACGGCGGGAGTCGAGTGGAAGGAAGATAGGGACTTACTCGACACTTTTCTTCTGCTGTAGATCGGCCTACTCCATTACGATTCCCGTCCGAACGCTCAAGTCTCCACGAAAATTTTTCTCAATAGACTGCCTACGACAATTTGATCAGAGAGAAATTAGTTTCGGACAATTTATCATTTCAAAGTGGGGTTGGAATCAATCAGAACAAATCGATTGATTAATCTAATTCACATTTTGTCGCAACAAATATCGGCGGAGATGGACGGATTGCAGTTTGCAGATTTGCGAAAAAGAAACTGCAGTGGTGAATTGTGAAAAGGCAGGAACGAAAAGGGTGGAAAACATGTTTTTTAACAGAAGGAGAATGGATAGACCGATAGAGAATATGAGTCCTTTTTATGGTGCTGACGTGTATAGGCTAAGTGTTGAGAAAGGCTTACGTGGATGGGGCCAAAATCTCAAAGTCCTTTAATATTTTTATAGATATAGATAGATAGATAGATAGATAGATGTAACTTAATCCGAATTGGTGGATTTATGGAGACGAGAGTAAATCTTACAGTCCTGCCCGTTTATTTAATATAATTTATTGATCATCTCATCTCTTCATGAACTACACTGACGGGTCAAGATCTGGTGACTAGGGGAAAGAGGGGGGAGGGTTATTAGTCACTTGACTAAGCCCTACTCAACCTTTAAATTGATCTACTGGTCCAAATATATTAATAAATTATTATTAAATGAGAAGGGTAGTTTTGGCATTATCAGAAATTCATTAACTCCTTATTTCGGTTTTTATTTATTTATTACTATTTATTTCTTTTTTTTCCTCTCCTACCATCTCCTCCTTTCCCCTTTCTTGCGATGTCCAGAGAGAGAGAGAGAAAGAAATAGCATAGGAGAAAGATCTCAACACCCGTGGAGGAGAGAGATTGCAGCGCCGGTGGAGGAGAAAGAGAAAGAGAAAGGCGGCGACATTGATGGAGAAAGAGATGGCGGCGGCGACGAAGATGGTGGGGGGAGAGAGAAACACCGCACGAGGCGGATTTTTCGGAGAACGTCAACAGCGGCAACGATGGATGAGATAGAGAGAGAGGCAGTAACGGTGGCGGAGAGAGATTCGGCGGCGGAGGAGGCGAGAGATTCAATGATACTTTGTCGTCCGGCGGAATAATGGTGTGATTTGTAATGCAAGCGATATACATTTGTATTGTTAGTATCTTTGTACATAATGTCATTGTGATTTGTAATGCAAGTGTTATACATTTGTATTGTTAGTATTTTTGTACATAATGTCATTATGATTTGTATATATTTGTAATGTAGTTTATATACTTTCTAATATTAATTTGTATACTTTATATGTATTGAATTGTGATGCAAAACATGTCGATTTGTATTGTAAGTAATGATAATTTGTACTTTTAGTATGCTTCGTGTACAATGTTACTATCATTTCATTATAAATAATGATGTTTACAAATAAATCTTACAAATATTATAAAGCAGATTGATGACCATTACAAACCATAATGACAACCATTACAAACCAGACGAACAAACATTACAAACTAGACAAACAAACATTACAAATTACAATGTATACTGACTCGTCCTGAATACCACAATAAATTCCCGCCAAAGGCCCAAGTATAAACCTTAACTGGGTGCAGTACATGATAAGTATGTTTAAATATCAACCCGGGCCCCTCCGTGTACCCCTACTTCAGTCATTTGAATCATAACCTGACAACAAGTTTTGGTTGAAAAATTTGCTAATTAAATTAAAATAAGGCAAAGGTAAATGGTTTTGAAAGCCTTTTGTGAGAAGGATCACTCGGGTGTCGCTTCCCCCTAACTACTACCATGATATTTGAATTGAAAGGGTTGCTATGAGCAAGGTAACCGCGAACCGTAGAGGGATGCAAATATGGTCGTAGACCACATTCTCGATTACTAAACCGAGGTATACATTATAGGCTGTGTCACTCGGTCCTCTCGGTTTAGGCAATCGGTGGTTGACTTACTCCCTCACTCAAATCAAGGGTTGGACGGCTTAATTGCACTTAATCAATTTGCTTTATTCAACATTGAGGTTTGCCCTAAATTAACCTAAATTAGGTGGCTTGAAAAGCTAAAGGAAAGCCAACTCGATTGAGTCTCCCTTGGAAGGGGGATTTTCCTCTCTAATCTAGGTTAAAGTGGCTAATTAGATTGCTAATTCACCAACGTGCACAAACCTAAGGATGCTAAGCACAATTATGCACAATCCTTAGGTTGCTAAGCATCAACATGCACAAACCTAAGGATGCTAAGCAGAAAACATGCACAATCCTTAGATTGCTAAGCACAAGCATGCACAATCACATGAATAATACCTCAATCATTGAATTAAACAATACCCAATGACAATCATTCAATTCACATAAAAGAAACTACATGGTAGCTAGTTAGGGTTTCACACCCAAGTGAAAAGAAATCTACTCCATGCTAGAAATGGGAGAAACACAAGGAGTAGAGGTAGAAACCATCTTGAGGGAGGATTCCAATCTGCTAGACCCTTGTGCTGAACTTCTCTTGAGGAGAATCTTCTCAAATTCCACCTTGGAGCAAAACCCTAGCCTCCTTCTCCTTTGGTTCGTGTTTCTCTCTCTAAAAATCTGAAGAAGGCTTTCTCACACAGTGGGCTCTCTCCTCTCTTCCTTTTAGCTCAGCTTTTAAACAGTGGATGAGCTCAGTTCACTGCCTGAGTTCACAACCGTGAACTCTGAAACACGTCTGTGAACTCCAGATGGGCGTCGAAACGCACCGCTTTGCTTCCACGGGTCGCGGCCAACAGCTTCTATTCACGGTCTAAGTGACCGTGAACTCAATTAGCGTCAGTATATTGTATTTTGGCCTTGGACGCCTCAATGTTCACGGCCAACGACTCTTCTTCACTGTCATACAAGACCATGAACAACCAAGGCAAATCGTGAACTCACCGTTTTTCACATCTCTCCCGGTTTTTGCTCCTTTTCATCCAACTTTCGACTCCGGGGATGGTCTCACCTGTTAAATCCTAAAACACGAGAAACCTAGCGTAAAACTACCCTTTTAGGAGCACAATTCCACAAACGACTAAGGAAAACAGGGGTAAAACATGTACAATTAGGCCCGGATCACTCCCCCACACTTAGATGTTTGCTTGTCCCCAAGCAAACCATTTCACACAAGGTAATATTTCAACCTAAACAAATACTTTGGGGACAACTCAAAGGGCCCAAAGTAGGAATTCTCGATGGCTATTGACGATTAACTCATGGACCATTGCAAGCAATACCGACATCCACCACAAACGACATTCGAAGCCACCAAAAACGGGCAAACGAAAAGTTCTCACCTTGTTCATGGATCAATGCAAGTCCCAAAAAAACCACTTATCAACTACAACCAACCACACATGGAATTCACGTCCGAGGATCAAATGGAAAGGCAACGAAGTTCCTTACCGGGGTATGATATGG